TTTTGCTGTGCCAACTTATAAATTAAACTTCATCACAGGTACGTATGCATGGGAGAAAACAGTACAGTTATCCCTTGAACAACACAGGGTTTAGGGGTGTCGAAAATCCATGTAGAACCTAGGAACCCCCCAAAACTTACCTGCCTTACCAATGACGTAAACAGTTCATCAACACCCATTTTGTGTCTTATATGTGTTATATGCTGTATCCTTGCGATCGAGTAAGCTGGAGAAAAGGAAATGCTATTGAGATCATAAGGAAGAGACATTTCTAGTGTTCTCCTATATTTATGGAAAAAAAGCCCCACTTTGAGCCCGCGCAGTTCAGATCGTGTTGTTCGGGGTTGACAGCATCTGTAGGGTTCGGGACCGTCTGTGGTTTCAGGCGTTTCGGGGGGCCTGCCATATGAACACGTGATGTCATGCATTTCTTCTTGGAGGAAATGAAATTGTTGCATGCCTAGCACTCCTTCCCCATCTTTGTGGCTCTTCTGGAAGATGCCACCAGCCGCCTGGTGCAGTCCCTTCCACATGGTGGTCTTTCCGCTCTTTTCTTACCGCAGGTGCGCCCTGCACCACACCGTGGCCCTCCACTCGCCAAGGTCACACTGGCCGGCCCTTGCATTCGGACACCACGCACTTTATTTTGTCCTTTTGAACCTCTGTTGTGAGTTGTGACGGAGTGTGGCGTGCCACGTTTGATGTCACCGTGCCCCGTGCAGGCCGCGGCCCACGCCCCCGTCTGCCAGACGCGCAGCCGGAGTTGGACAGTCTGGGGATCGTGCTGGGCAGTGCTGGTGTCCGGTCCGCGGGGCTTGTTCAGATTGCGGTGCGTGTGCCCTGGAGCCCGCTCTCTGACCGGGTCAGGAGTTGGGGGAGGTTGTCACGTCTCCTCTGTCCTCTCCGGGCTGGCCTGCGCCCCACTCCCGTGTTTCGTGCCCCTGACACCATGGGAGAACCCTGACCAGTTCTTTCGTGCGCTTCACCTCGCGTGGCTCTGTTGGACATTTCCTCAGTCCGGGCAGAGCCCCCGGGTGCAGGCGGCTGCTGCATCCTGTCCGCACGCCACACGCTGTCAGCTGTCCTGGGACCCACCTGCTGCGCTGCTGGGGCTGCCGTCTGCCAGTCTCCCCGCACACGAGGCCAGTTCCCGCCCTGTCATCAGCGAGTATCTCGTAGGGAGATGCTTGCACACCGTGTGAGGGTCACCCACCAGTGTGGCGTTCGTGGATGACTCTTGCCTGAACCAGCATGGGGTGTTTGTCACACACTGACTTAAGGACAGAATCCGTCATTCCGTGTGCACTCCTTGGTCTGCACTCTGCCTGAGGGACGAGCTTCCCTCCCCTACTTTACCGATCTTTGCCAGCTAAAATTTACATCAGTACAGACTCGTGGGTTCTTGCTTTATTCTGTGGAGTGGAACCCTCACCTCCTGGGAGCCCTGGCCCCATTCTCTGTACGTGTCCTGGCGTTCCGCATCTCGTCTGCGCCCCAGCCCTGGAAACCAGCTGTCTCTCCGAGGGGTGCGTGGTCTGGTTTCCCAGTGAAATGCTGGTCATGTAGTTTCCTCAAGTTTTGCTGTGGCTGCTGTAGTCTTTCCAGGGTCGTGTGTGCCGTGTGCCGCTAGGAGGGTCTGACAGGAGGATGGGAGAGTCCCCGAATGGTGGGCGTGGCCGGCACAGGAGGCAGAGGGCCTTGGCCGTGGTGGGTGGGTGTGGTTGCCACAGAGCTGGTCAGGCTGGAGGGGCCCTGGTAATGCCTGTGTCCTGTGAGGGAGGTTCTAAGTTGGAGCTCAGGGAGAATTTGTGGGGAGAAGCAGTGAGAACCAGGCCAGGTTGCAGGCTTGGTGGGTCCTGCCCAGGTGACCGTGGGTGAGTGGTGCAGGCATGGGGGTGTGGCTGGCTGGCTCTGATTTGGCCCCCCGGTCCTACACGCACTTAAGTAGGGCCACTCCCAGAGCACAGAGACGCTCCCCTGGGGAACCGACGGGTGCTGGCCTGGGCCTCGGGGTCCCCGGCTGTGCTGGGGCAGGTGGCTGTCCCTGGCTAGGACGGTGGGAGCCCAGGAGAGCTGCTGGTGAACAGCGCGGACGGTGAGTGCTTCTCCTGGCCTGGAATAAGCCTGAGTGTGCACAGTGCCTTTGGTTGGGATGAGCTCACGAATTCCAGGGCCCTTGGTAAGCCTGTCCACATGCTCCGCTGAAGGGAGAGCCCTGTGCCGTCCCTCGGCTGCCTTGACAGGTGCCCGAGTGCAGAGCGGTGGTGGGCTGTCTTTGTTCTGCTTCCCACGCTTGCTGGGACGCCTCCTTCCCCCACTCCGTAAAAGGCTGGCTTGGGGCATGCTGTTTTATTTATTTTTTTAATTTATATTATTTTATTTTTTTAATTAATTACTATTTTTTAAATTAACATATAATGTATTATTTGTTTCAGGGGTATAGGTCTGTGATTCAACAGTCTTGCACAATTCACAGCGCTCACTGTAGCACATACCCTCCCCAATGTCTGTCACCCAGCCACCCCCTCCCTCCCACCCCCCACCACTCCAGCAACCCTCAGTTGAGATTAAGAGTCTCTCTTTTTTTAATTTTATTTTTAATTTTTAATTTTTTAAAAAGATTTTATTTAAATGACAGAGAGAGACACAGCAAGAGAGAGAACACAAGCAGGGGGAGTGGGAGAGGGAGAAGCAGGCTCCCCGCTGACCAAGGAGCCCCATGTGGGGCTCAATCCCAGGACCCTGGGATCGTGACCTGAGTCGAAGGCAGACGCTTAACGACTGAGCCACCCAGGCGCCCCTGGAGTCTCTTATGGTTTGTCTCCCTCTCTGGTTTCGTCTTTTTTCATTTTTCCTCTCTTCCCCTATAATCCTCTGTTTTGTTTCTTAAATTCCACATATTAGTGAGATCATATCATCGTCTTTCTCTGGTTGAGTTATTTCACTCAGCATAACACCCTCCAGTTCCATCCACGTTGTTGCAAATGGTAAGATTTCATTTTTTTGGCGGCTGTAATATTCCATTGTGTATATACGGACCACATCTTCTTTATCCATTCATCTGTCGATGGACATCTTGGCTCTTTGCCCAGTTTGGCTATTGTGGACATTGCTGCTATAAACATCGGGGTGCACGTACCCCTTCAGATCCTTACATTTGTATCTTTATGGTAAATACCCAGTAGTGCAGTTGCTGGGTTGTAAGGTAGCTCTATTTTCAACTTTTTGAGGAACCCCCATAGTGTTTTCCAGAGTGGCTGCACCAGCTCGCATTCCCACCAACAGTGTAGGAGGGTTCCCCTTTCTCCGCATCCCAGCCAACATCTGTCGTTTCCTGACGTGTTAATTTTAGCCATTCTGACTGGTGTGAGGTGGGATCTCATTGGGCACTGTCAGGGCAGTGTCTGTTCACGCCTGTGGAGAGTGCACGTGTGCGTGTGCAGGGGCACCGGAGGGTGTGAGTCTTGCAGGCCTCTGGCAGCGTCTGTAGAAAGGCTTTCTGCTGGGGTCTGCCGGTGCATTCTGCCGGCACTTTCCATAAAGCTGTGTGCTCCTTGCAGTCCTGGCCGTGATGGGGGCTGCCAGCACCGTGTGGAGGTGTTGCTCATGCAGACATCCTGAGGGACGCTGCCCCAGGACGTGACTCAGTGGGGTTGGGGTGGGGCCTCTGCCTTGTGAATGGTCTGCTGGGCCCGAGGAGGCCTCTGGGAAGGGGGACCTCAAGGCCTGCTGCAGGTTAGGGGCCCGAACTTGACATTCTGGAGGGTCTGTCACTGCTCTCATTTTTTAATTTCTGAGAGCTCTTTTCATTTTTCTTTAAATACTTCTTTTTTTTTTTAAGATTTTATTTATTTATTTGAGAGAGAGTGAGAGCAAGGGAGCACAAGCGGGGTGAGGGACAGAGGGAGAAGCAGACTCCATGCTGAGCAGGGAGCCCGACATGGGACTTGATCCCAGGACCCTGGGATTATGACCTGAGCCGAAGGCAGATGCTTAACGACTGAGCCACCCAGGCTCCCCTAAATACTTCTTTTTAAGGAAATTCTGATCTTATTTTGTGGACCGGGCGCCTTCTCCGTCTGAGGGCAGGACCGATGCTGTTTCCTCTGGGTGGCTGGGGCCCTCCTGTCTGGTCGGCGCTCTCCATGGCTTCCGAGGCAGGTGGCCCTGCTCGTGCTCGGCAGCGGGCCTCTAAGAAGGTGGCAGCCAGGGATGGCGGGTGGGTAGTTGGCTACATGGGGGCTCAGGGCCCTCCCCTTGCTGGTGTCTGTGGGCAGCCAGGTCCCAGGTGCAGCGTGAGTGCCCACTCCTGGGAATGGAGGGCCTGCACCCCCACTGAGCTGCCCCTGCAACCCTGCACCTGGGGGCCTGGGGCCGGGCTCTGCACCCCTGCGCCTCGCACGCAGGGCCAGCTAGACAGACTGGGGGAGGGGTGTGTAACACTGTAAGGGGACAGTGGTGCATGGGGGTTCAGTAATTCTCAACCAGCTGTTCCTCGGGTGTAGGATGTGGCTTCCTGCCACTGTCCAGCTTCCCCATGTCTCTTCTCCTGTCTGCTCTGCCCACTGTGGGGCAGGGGTGGGGTGGCCTTTTCTGCTGCTTCCACTGGGGCTTTGGGAGGACTGGATCTCAGGTGTGCACTTAACCTGCTGTCCTTCCACCAGAATGCCACTTCTAGTACAGTTTCCAGGGGAGCTCATACAGTAGTTGTAAAGCAGGTGGGTTTTCATCAGGCGGAGGTAACAAATATTCTGCACACAAAATACTCAGCATAGAACAGGAACACTGACCCAGTGGTTCTGTGTGTAATCACTTCTTTCTCTTTCCCACAAACACAGATGCGGAGTTCTGAAGAGTCCTTGGAAATGGATCACTCATCTGTAAAGCGGAAATCCACCTTGAGGGTCAGCTCTGACCCAGCAGCGACCCAGGCCTCCTGAAGCCTGCTGTTCTGAACCCCAGTGCCCATCGGTACAGACTGAGGACACGGGTCCCTGACCATGGTCACACTCATCACTGAGAAGCTGCAGAACCAGAGCCTGGATGACCTTGCCCGCAAGAGCTACGATGCTGGCCCGGTAAGCTGGCCGCGGCGGCAACACACAGGACCCTGTCCCCTGCCAAGGGTCTGGGGGAGACTGCCCAAGCTGGACAGAGGATGTGTGGCCAAGGTCTGAGGGGACGTGGTGGGAGGAGGGCTGGAGGGGGCTGTGTCCCGGGGCCGTGTTGTGCACACGCAGCCCCCACATCTCCTCAGCGTCCTGATGATGGGTTTCTCATTAAAAAAACACCAGCTTTTAATGAATGTCCAGCCGACTCCTAGAAGTATGCCAATCCTAAGTGTGCAGCATGCAGATCTTCATACCTGTTAAATGTGTCTCTGAGCGAGCAGCGCCCGTCCCCACCCTGATGCCCCTCATGCTGGCACCAGCCCTCCTGACAACCTCAGTCTTGAGTGGTCTCCACAGCTTTGTGACTTGGGTTTGAAGTTTGCGTAGGTGGAGCCGTTTTTCCAGGGTCATATTAACATGACTTTCAGGACTGTCCTGGTTTGACTGTAGGTCTGGACGGAGGTGGCCGAGTGTGCAGCCCCACATGGTGCTTGGAGGCCTCCTGAGCGGCCTCACTGACGCCGGGCGCCCAGAGCAGTGTTGGTGCAGCCCAGCTGCGAGTTAGGCCTCCCAGAGGCGGTGGGAAGCTGTGATTCCAGGCCTTTGTTCTGGGCTCACGGCCCACCATCACAGTGGCTGGTTTTGAGGTTCTGAGGCTCAGCGCCACAGACGGAGTGCCAGGGACGGGAGGTGGGCCCGTGTCTGCAGCCCAGGGGGGTCAGGGGTCCCGAGGGGCCTTTGTGGGGTGCTGCTGTCTGGCCTCGAGCTCGGAGCCCTGATGGGATTACAGCGGCCACCATGCACGTGTTCCCATCTTCGCTTGTGCTCAAGTGCAGAAACTGCTTCCTGGAGACTAAGCAAAACCGGGGCTGTAGCGGAGCACGCACGGCCACAGATGGCCACATGCCCGTCAGAAGGTGTGCCTGGGAGCTGGCGGCCAGGTGCTGTGTGGCTTTGCTGGGGAGACGGGCCAAGGATCGGGCCTGCAGGGCCCTTGCAGAGGAGCGGACATGGCTGATCCTAGCACGTTTGGGGAACGGGAACACGTCGCCTTTCTGACAGAGAGAAGGACTGTTGTGAGCACCCCGCGCAGGAGGAGGGGTGCACGGTCAGCCCGCCCTCCCTCCTCCTCTGCTGGCCCTGCCCGCGGGCTCTGTGGTCCGTGTCCCGTTCTGTTGCCGCTGGGGGTGATTTGTTTGTTTCGTCAAGACTCGTGTTTTTGAGAAGATGGCCTGTTAACTTGGTAGGTTTTTCTTCCTGAAATGGGAGAACAGAGCTTTCCTGTCCCCAAATCTACATCTTGAATTTTACGAGGAGCCATTTTGCTGTTGGAAGCAGAGTTCTGGTGCATGTGGTGGAGCCAGCTGTGGCCTGGGGGGCGGGGGGCACCACGGGGTCGGGGCACATGCTGTGGGTCAGTGGGGCCCACACGAAGGTGTTCATTTAGACAGACTACCCTGGCAAGACAAATCCTACCTATGATTCTTCCCATTGTGACGCAAATAGATTTAGTTTGTGTGAATTTACAACGTAATATTTGGAAGAGAATTCCTTCATTACCGGTAGGCATTTTGCCAACTTCCTGGGGAGGCTTGTTCTTGCATCTGCACGGTTTCTGCTGCATGACTGCAGACGCTTTGTTTATAGAAACCTGCTGTTTCTATGTTCACTTTTAAATGAGGTGTAATTTACAGGCAGCGGAAGGCACAAATGGCCCTCTCTTTTCGAGCAAGAAGTCTCTGTCGTCTCTGTCACCCATTTGATGTTGGGCTTTTAGTTTATGTGGCTCTCCAATGTCACTTTATAGTAAGGACGGTGTGGTCAGCTCTGCAGAGGGAACTAGGAATCTGTGTCCCTGGGGGTCAGCGGTTTACCTGTGAGCCAGCTCCCTGACGCTACCTACACGTGTCTCAGCACACGCTACTTGTAACGTTCACTGAAAGGAGTCAGTAGTTAAAAAGCCAACTTGTTGTATAAGAATAGAAATTGAAGTTTTTGAAGGTGACTAACGTTAGTATTTTCATGGCAAAATCCGAACATAGGTTGGAGTCGAGCGTTAGAGACCTTGAGGTCAGCACCGTCAGCCCCCGTCCCTGGTTCCATCTGTGCCTTCAGCCACGCCCCTCCCGCGGCCGTCTTACGGCAAGTGCTAGGTGGTTTTCCTCGGAGTAGTTCCCTATACGTCTCCACAGATGTCTTCTCAGGTGTCCCCCGCCCCGGGTGTGCTGCGCAGACTGCCCTGTGCCTGTGTGGCGGCCTCTAGTTCCATGTGGCTTTTCAAATCGAAATTAAAGTTAATTAGAATTAAACGTAACGAACAATGCTATTTTTCATTTGCACTGAACACACGTCAGGTGCCCCCGTGTTTGGTGTGGCCAGTGGCTGCCCTAGTAGGCAGCGCAGACGGCTGCCCCTCACCCCAGGAAGTTCTGGACTGGGCGTGGTCCGACCCCGCCGGATAGACTGCGTCCTGTCTGCCTTTTGTCTGTCAGTGGACGTTTGGGTTGCTTCTGCTTGTCTGCTGTTTTCAGTGCTGCTGCTCCAAGTGTTTGTGTGCAGGTTTCTGATTGGACAGACGTCTTCATTTCTCTTAGCGTTAGTCCAGCAGTGGGACCTGTGGGTCGTACCGTAACTCCATTTAACCTTCCGAGACACGGAGCTCTTCTCCGCAGCGGCTGCACCATCGTACAGCCCGCCAGGCGGGGGGCCCTGAGCTCTCCACTTCCTCCTCAACACCTGCAGTTGTCCCTCTTTTGGAGTCTCACCACCCAGGAGGTGCGGTCTCCTTGTGCTTTGAGCTGTGCGTCCCTCCCGACTGGTGACGTCAAGCGCTTTTCTCGTGCCTGCTGGCTGTCGATGAATCTTCTTTGAAGAAATAGGTCTTCAAGTCCTTTGCCCATTGAAAATGTGGGTTGTCTGTCTTTTTATTTTTGAGTTGTTAGAATTCTTTGTGTAGTCTGATCCCTAATTGGATATGTGATTTGAAAAAACGTTTTTCTATCCTGTGGGTGTTTTTCTCAATAGTGTTCTTTGAAGCACAAAAGCTTTTATTTTATCGAAGTCCAGCCGATCTCTTTTTCCTTTTGTCACCTGTGCTTTCAGTGTCATATCTAAGAACTTTGGCCGAGTCCTAGGTCGTGAAGATTTATTCTTACGTTTTCCTCTAAAAGTTTTATAGCTTTAGCTCTTACATTTGGGTCTTTGATCCCTTTTGAGCTACTTTTAGTGTGTGGTGTGAGGTAGGGCCCAACTTCGTCCTTTTGTGTGTGGATCCCAGCTGACCCAGCACCATCTGTTGAAGACCCCTCCTTCCCCTTGAGTGGTCTTTGGCACCCTTGTCAAAAGTTTACATTTTTAAAAACAAAGTCTTTGAAACCTAGTGTGCACATTACACATACAGCAGATCTCAATTTGGACACCAATTTTCATTATAGAAATATTTGATCTGTATTTAGATTTCATGAAATTTATAGTTGAAAAAGTAGATTTCACATACTCCAGTTGTTCTAAGCACACTGAAAAGTTTTCCAAAAAATTGAATTATTAGTTTTAAAACTGAAATTCGAGATAGTTAAATGTAAATAAAATTGGAAATCACTAAACATTTGGTGCCTTTGTCTCTAGCCGTGTGCCACTCCGGTCACTCATGAATCCCTCCGCGAGTACTGTCACTTGCCGCGTGGTCAGGCGCAGGTGGTGGGAGCGGGAGGCCCAGCAGGGACACCTCGTCCAGTCCTGAGGGGTTAATCCCTTTTGAGGCTCTCCGCCCTGTCAGCCAGAGAGCTGACGTTTGTCTCGAGGGCCAGCGTCCCCTGTGTACCATTGCCCGGTCAGCCCGGATGTGGGGAGTGCTCTGTGCGCCTGGCCCTGCTGCGCTTAGTGCCTCTTCACAGATGTCCCAGCAGACCCTGTGTCCTCTCTGTCCTCACCCCCTTCGGTGGGGCTGGCGCCTTCATTTTATGGTCCTTTTTCTCTGGCCTCGGGTGCATTCCCACTTCCTTCTGATCACCGGGGTGACGTCGGCTCTTCCTGCATTGCCTCTGTGAGGCTTGGGGGACATAGGCTGGTCTAACTGTGACCAAAAAGGCCTAGAAGCCCATGAGGTGAGTCCGGTTCCCACTGCCCCTTCCCCTGCCCAGACAGGACGGTGAGTGCCTTGAGAAATCAGGCCGTGTCTTCCGGCTTCTGGTACTTTCCATAGCTGGTGCACTGGGTCGTGTCGGCGAACACTGGCTGCCCCAGTGAGTGTGGGTGGGGGACCTGGGGCAGCTCCGTCCGGGGGCACGTTCTGTGGTGACGGGAATGCTCCCACTGTCCAAGTATGTGGCTCCTTAAAGCATGTGGTTATTGGGCCCTGAGATGTGGCTGGGGTGATGGGGAGCTGAATTTGTATTTTATATAATTGAAGTTTAAATTTCAGTAACTGCTGACCGTTGTGTGGGGCAGCGTAGATAGAGAGCAAACTCAGTGACCTGAGTGTCAGCCGTCCCTCACGTGGACCCTCTGTGGCCACACCGCGTTCCCTCCAACCAAGCTCTCCCATCTCCGTGACTTGTCATTTCAAGGATGATCTGTGCGAAGTCCATGACCTTTGGGGAGGGGCCTTTTTTGCTCCTCATGATGCCCTGGAGAGGCATCCGGGTGGTTTCGTGGTTCAGCAGAGTAGTTGCACTCGCGTAAGGGCGTACCATTCACCTGCTGAAGGCTTGTTGCAGTTCTTTTTTTTTTTTTTTTAATTTATTTATTTGACAGAGAGAGCGACAGCGAGAGAGGGAACACAAGCAGGGGGAGTGGGAGAGGGAGAAGCAGACTCCTTGCTGAGCAGGGAGCCCGATGCGGGGCTCCATCCCAGGACCCCGGGATCATGACCTGAGCCGAAGGCAGACGCTTAACCAACTGAGCCACCCAGGTGCCCCAAGGCTTGTTGCAGTTCTGATAAAAATCCCAGTACCCTACAGTTCTCAAGTGAGCTGTAGCTTCTCTGGTTCGTTCGTTTACAACCTGAGGCCGTGGCATCACCATGTCCTGCCTTTCCCGAGGGGCTTGTGTTCTCCTGGGAAGATAGACGCAGCCAGCCCTGGGACCGCAGGTGGGGGCTGTGTGGGGCTGCAGGGGCGGCAGAGAGGAGAGGAGGTGTGGTGGGGGCTGTGTACTGCAGAGGAGGGGGGGTCTTGGGGCCTCAGGGGAGGAGGATGTGCAAGCAGGTGGGTGGGCAGGAGTCACTGCATGCAGCCTGGCCCGCCGCCCGGCCCGCCGAAATGCCGGCAGGATCCAACAGAACTTGTTGAGGTTGTTCAGTGAATGTGGGAGTGGCTCCAGATGTCAGGTGGGAGTGTGGTTTCTCTGCAAGCAGGCAGCCTAGGGAGCCCCTAGCCTGTGCTGGTGGACGGTAGAACAAGAAGGCAGCGTGGGGGTGTTGAGAGTTGACATAGGGTGGCCAGGGCTGGACCCTTGGTGGGCGGCAGGCCCATGGGAGCAGGTGCCTGGGCTTCTGTTCTCGTGAGGGCAGGCCCAGATCAGGTCAGGGTAGCAGGCCCACTTCACTGTGCTGTGGTGGGGGGGGCTGAGGAGGAGGGTTGCGAGCTGGGGGTGCACTGGGGGTGGACGGTCAGGAGGTTCAGTATCACTCACTGTGGTGTGGGCTGTCGGCGTGCCGTGTGTCCAGCTATGCAGGTACAGGCTTGGATGGTGAGGAGTTTGGCTTTTAAAAACCTTTTGTTGAAAATACGCTTTTTTGGTGAGGTAGACTTTGCACACAGTGGAATGTGCAGGTTGGGTTTGATGAGTTCGGTTGGATGAGTTTTGCGGGTGGTGCACACTGGGAACGCTGTCACCACCCAGACAGGTTCTGGCCTTCTCAGGGCCCCACGTGGCCTGTCCTGGCTCGTCCCAGAAGCGCGGCAGCTTGTACTTTGGAGTCTGGCTTCTTTCCCTGGCGGGAACTCAGGAGGGACTCATCAGGTCCGTGGTGGTTGGCGCTTCCTTCCTTCCTTTCCTCTGCGGGGCGGTCTCTGTCTTCCTTCCATGGACGTTTGGGCTCTTCCCAGGCTCTGGCTGCTGAGCCTAACGCTGCTGAGCACGTGCGGTCTCCTGTGGCCGGCTCTCCCAGCAGTGCCCTGGCCTGCACCTTGGCCCGGCCACTGGGCACGCCTGGTGCCGTGTCCCCCAGGCTCTGACCACTTTCCCCGGATGACGAGGGAGATTGCACCTCTTGTTCTGCCCAGTGGCCAATTGTGAGTGACTTCAGGTCTTTGGCCATTTTTCTGTTGGATTGTGTGCCTTTTTTTTTACTGATCTGTAGGAAGTCATTGATACATCCTGCTATGAGTCTTTTTTGACTTGAAAATATTTCGCAAATATTTTCTCCTATCTTATGGTTTGCCTTGTCATGGGTGACTTTCAGTGAACAGAAATTCTATTTTCAACATAGACGGAAGCACCCATGTAAGTTAGTGTGTTTTTATATCTCACTTAAGAAATCTTTGCTACCCTGAGTCTTGAAGTTATTCTCCTGTTTTCTTCTAGAAGCATCTGTTTTACTTTAGCTTGAAGACTGCACTCTCCCTGGAGCTGAGTCTTGTGTGTGGGAGGAGACCAGGCCAAAAGTGGGTTTTCTTTTTTTTTTTTTTTTTGCACGGATGTGTGGTTGACCCAGTGCCCTTTCTGGAAATGGCTGCCCTTTGCCCACCGTCAGTTGGTGGATTTCGTCACTTCACATAGCCCAGGAGCCGCCCTGCATGTGCGTCCCACTCTCCCTGCAGCCCCAGGTGGGGAGACCGAGGCTTACACAGAGGAGCCGGCCTGCCCCCATCAAGGGTGCTCAGGGGAGTGGACTGCAGGCCACGTGCTGCACGGGCCGTCCCTGGGCTCGGGTATGGCGGGGCTGGGCCGGCCTCGGTGCCGGCCTGGGGTCTTAGCGCCCCCTGGTATCCCAGGGCGTGTTCAGGGGCGGCCTTGCCTGGTCAGGGCTCCTCAGCACGAGGCAGGCTGTACAGGCCTGTTCTGGATGTGCCGGCCCACAACGCTGCAGCTGTCTTCCCACAGAGAGGCCCAGGGCCAGCCCTGCTCCGCCCCCCAGCACAGGCGCTGTCCACAAAACCCACGTCCCCTGCTGCGCCACGCGGCTGCTGTGTGCCTGCACGCTGAGCTGTGACCTGGGCCTCCTGTGTGGGAGCCGCTGGAGCCTCTCCTTGGTGGACGATGCTTCTGTTCAGGTTTCCTGCTGTGGGGACGGCAGCCCTGGGAAGGTGCTTGTGCCTGGGCTCACCTGGGGGACAGGGGCTGGCCAACCCGGCCCGGAGTGGGGGGCATGGGGGGTGGGGGCACTGGGAGGGCCTTGGGGGCACTGTAGGGGTGCTGGGGGCACTGGGAGGGCAATGGGGGTGCTGTGGGGGCGCTGGGGGCACTGGGAGGGCAATGGGGGGTGCTGTGGGGGCGCTGGGGGCACTGGGAGGGCCTGGGGGGTGCTGTGGGGGTGCTGGGGGCACTTGGAGGGCCTGGGGGGATTTGGGGTTGCTGGTGGAGGCAGGAAGGCAGAGACAATTGAGCAGCGACGGCTCCCGGACCCCACAGGATGGTTCTGTGTCCCCACAGCACCGGGGGCTTGCCCCAGAGACCCAGCTGGATGATGGCGCCCCTGGGGCTGGGCAGGGGGAGCTCGCAAAAGCAGACAGACACAGGCGAGCAGCGCCCCCTCAGGCGCCGTGGGGGCAGATCACAGTTGAGACCCCGAGCAGCCCTCAGGGGGCCTGGCCAGGGGCCGGTCCGTGTGGGAGAGGGCCTGAGTGGGGAGGCCGTGAGGGCAGCCCTGGCTGGCTGCGGGAGGGCTGCCTGGGCAGGAGCACACGGTGGTGTGCACGCGGCTTTCTATTCCCTTCCCTCAGCTGTGTGTTGTTCGGTCTTTAAGAATCTTGATTAAGAAAAGGATGTATGCTGGGGTCCATGCTTTTCCTTTTCATTGCCAAAAAATGGAGCGTTGGGGGAAAACAGAACTGACCCGTAGGGATGAGATCGTCGCGTTTCCCCTGACTTCATGCTGTTGTGAGTTCTGTGTCCGCGTCCACGGTATTCATACTGGTTTTTCTCGTCACTTACAGCGTTCTGCTGGGACACTGAGCAACAGGGGTCATTTGTTCCCTTTTGAGAGCAACGGTAAGTGTTCGAAGCCCCGACGCGTCCTCCAGAGCTGCTGTGGCCGTGGGCCGGGGACGGTGCGTGGAGGGTGCGGATGTGGACCTGGAGGGTGATGCCCAGCCTGCTGGGCTGGCGGTCAGGGCGTGGCCCGGCCCCTCCCTCCAGAGTGGCAGCTGGGCCCTCCCGGAGAGGTGCTGGCTGTGCGAGGTCGAGGCCCGCCCTGTGGGGCCCTGTGGCCACTGAAGGGAGAGCAGGGCGGGATTGGGCGTGGCACGGGGTCCGTGTATAGCTCCTGTGTGGCCCACGCTGGGCCATCAGTGCGCGTTGGGGCTCGGCCCCCCACCACCTGAAAGGCCACTCCAAGTGCGTGTGTGTGTGCAGAGGCTGCCGCCCTCCACTCCTGGTAACCTTGGCTCCAGATGACAGGCTGTGGTGAAGCATGTTAGCTGGGGTCTGACTCGAGTGCAGGTCCTCTCTCTGCCGGCCCTGGGCACCACGGCTGTAGGGTGGCACTCAGAAGCCATTGGCAGGGGCGCTGTGTTAGGTGGCTCTCCAGACTACCGAAGTGAAGGTTATTTTTACCAAATTCTTTTGTGAACAGATGGAGGTAGGAAATGTGAGCCCAGCACTGGGCCCTAGGCACTGTGTCCTCAGTGGGAGTCCACCCTGCACGTGGGGCCAGTCCTCAACAGGGATTCCCAGGGGGTCTGACCCTGCCTCTTTGCTGCCCAGGGTCACCCCAGGGCCTTTGCTCATGCCTCTCCCCACAGGGGTCCTCTTCCCTGGGTCCCACTGCCTCCATGCCCAGTTTCCCAACTGGTAGTGAATGCGGAGTGGCTGGAGTCATGGGGTTGCTGAGCGGACTCTCAGCCGGGTCAGTGGGAGTTAGGGTTTCATGGTGCACCTTGCTTCCACACTAGGAGTCCCAGGAGACCCACTCACCTGGCTCTGCCCTCAGCCCCCAGTGCAGCAAAGCTCATGATGGCGGCCCTGATGGGTGCATTCGGGGTCTGGGCACCCAAGGGGTGTGTGGAGGAAGGGCTGGGGTGGGCTGCTCCCGGGGCATTGCCGGCAGAGGGAGCCCCTGGTGCTTGCATGGTGTGCGCTCACATGTGGGTCTGCGGGTGTGCATGCTGACCCCGGACTCTCAGTGTCTCGTGTGAGACTCCCAGGAGCCACATGACGTGAAGAAGTGGAGGCTGGGGGTGGGGGTCCTGGCCCTGTGCACGGTCCCTGCCTGCCGTGTGCTGTGACTGTGCCTCCAATTTCGGGAAACAGGGCTCCCTCCCGGAGAGGAGGAGAGGGGCACCGTGGCCCGCGTGCTAAAGGGGCACCGGCCGCCTGGAAGCAGCCTGGTGGGCAGGGGTCTCGCAGGTGAGGTTGCACACCTGGAGGACTGGGCCATGGACAGAGAAGTGGGTGATGCAGGGCAAGTCTTTCCGTGAACCGGAAAGGAGAGTGGTGTGCTCCAGTCATCTTCACGGAGTGGGTAGCTGGCCTCGTTGAGACGTGTCTTCCTTGGAAAGTGAGGCTGGCTCCTGGGCTGAGCTGACCAGGGGGGAATGCAGGCGGGGCCGGCGCTGCCCGGGTCTGTGGCAGAGGAGTCACGTGAGGCTTAGTGTCAGGCCGTGTCCCCAGCCAGGCAGGGGCCTTGGGGCCTGGCAAAGACTGTGCCTTTGTCTCCTGTTCACTTGTCTCTTCTCTTTTGTGTTTCCTCAGAAGACAGGCGCCCCTGGAAGGTCTTAAGTGGAGGATGGCCCGTCGGGAGTCAGACGGCCACGGGCACACGTGGCCCAGACACAGGCCTGGGTGCCGTGAGCGCCACAGACCTCAGGGAGAGCACAGGGCCCCCCTCGGCACCACCTACCAAGCGCCACTGCCGCTCCCTGTCGGAGCCGGATGAACTGGCACGCTGCCGCTCCCCCTGGCGCCCTGGCGGCTCCAAGGTCTGGACGCCGGTGTCCAAGAGGCGGTGCCACAGCGGCGGGCGCGCCACGCTGCGGGAAAGCCTCGCTGCCAGCCTGCTCGGGAGCGCCACACTGCTGGGCCGTACCGCCCCGGTGGCCGGCCCCACTTCGCCCCCTGTGCCCCGGCCGCCTTCAGCCGGCGGCGGCTGCCTGGACGGCAGTGAGGGTGGCCCGGGCCCACCCTGGCGACCCACAGGGCCCTGCGCTCTGTCCTGCAGGCGCCGCCTGTCCCTGTCACAGGAGCACCTGGTGGAAGTGGGCACACCCCCGCCCTCTGCCGGCAGCAGCCCCTCATCCACGCCTGAACTGGGCCGGCGGCTGGGCCTGCTCCGGTGCCGCTCACAGCCTTGTGTGCTGGTCGGGAGGAAGTGTCGGCGCAAGCGCAGGCGTGAGGAGAGCGCCTGCTGGCCGCGCCCGTCCTTGGACTTTCTGAAAATGACACGGGTGAGGATCGTCTTGTTTCTGCTGTGCTCACCTCACGGGCGCCACCCTGCGGCACGGGGCGGCTCTGCGGCCAGATCGGCCTACCCCAGCCTTGGGGGTCTCCGCCCCTCGGCGGGAGCCCAGCTGCCTGGGAGGGCGCTCTGGGCCTGGCTGGGCCTGAGGTTGCAGCGTCCCCATGGCCGTGTTTCCTGCCCGCCTGGGCGGGGTGTGAGCCGTCCTCAGCCTCATGCATGTGTCTGTGTGTGTGCATGTAGACGTCTCGGGTTCCTGGCCCCACAGGTCCCCATGGCTCTCGGGTTCCCTGCCCTCCCTGGTGTGGGACGGCCATGACTGCCTTTCTGTTTGGAAGGCCGTGGGGCAGAGTCGGCGAGCTGGGGTGCAAGACAGGGCAGTGAATGGGTTTCAGCAGTCAGGGGGGCAGGCCAGCTAGAAGCAGAAGGGCAGGGTGCAGAGGCGGGCGGGGCGCTGGCACCGGCAGCCCCAAGGAAAGGAGCCCAGGAGTTGTGAAGCCTGTTTGTCTGTCTGTCTTTAGAGAGAGAGCAAGAGAACGTGAGCACATGAGCAGCATGGGTGTGGGTTGGGGAGGGGCAGAGGGAGAGGGCTAGAGAATCTCAAGCAGACCCCCAGCTGAGCGCAGAGCCTGCCGTGGGGCTCGATCTCATACCCCGAGATCCTGACCTGAGCCAAAACCAAGAGTCAGATGCTCAACCAACTGAGCCACCCAGGTGCCCTGCTTGTCTTTCTAACACGTTTTCCCTCGTTGCTGATGTATCGTCGGGTGCTCTCTGCCCCTGGATCCTTGAGGTCCCTTGAGCCTGCCCCAGCATCTGACAGCCCCTCTGCCCGAGTCCCCAGCCTCACCGGCCTGGTGCCTTATTTAGCCTGGCACCTCGCCAGGGTTACTGCATCACAGCCCACATTTAGCCCACGTGGCTTCCACGGATCAGGCATCCAGGAGCAGCTCAGCTGGGCGGCTCCACTCAGGGTCCCCTGTGCACTCGTGCTCCGTGGGGCTGTGTCATCCGCAGGCTCAACAGGGCCAGATGAGCCACTCCCAAGCCATCACGTGTGAGGTTTGCTGGGGGCTCACCGGGACACCATCTGGGCCCGGGGTGTGTGTGGAGGTGAGCAGACCTGCACACTCAGAGTGTCTCTGGGGCAATCTACTAGGGCTTCCTGAAGTTACCCCTTTCTGGGAAATGGCATTGCATTTAAGGTGTCAGTTTGGGGCACGAAGTTGCTCATTGTATCTCCTAGGACTTTTAAAGTCTTTACTCTGGTGCCTTTGTAGCTGTCTCTTTTATTCCTGATGTGTTGAATAATCAAACGTATGCAGACAGAGGTATTGTGAGCAGTTGTGATAGCTGACGGACACTTCTGATAGTGACCTGGGGGATGGAGGCCAGCACCCAGCCCAGACCTCGGTCGGGCTGGAGCCCTGTCCTTCTCCAGCTCCCGGCCGCCTCTGGAAACAGAGGGCATCTCAGCGTGATGCTTTCTACTTAGACCGTCTCTGGTGCCCGGCGTGCGGTCTTCCGCCCACGGGTCTGTGGCTCTGCAGACGCCGGCGGGTGTCTGACAATTGGCGCCATTCTGACACCAGCTGCCCTGAGTGCAGACCCTGCAGCCTCACAAGACCACCCCTGCTTCAGACGCCTCCCGTACCTCCCACCTGCCATCTACAAATTGGGGTTCCCACGACCCCCTCCTCGGGTTCCGTAATTGGCTAGAACGTCTCGCAGAACTGCGGAAAGCACCTTATACTAACTTGTGACCCATTTATCATGAAGGACACAACTCGGGACCGTCCCGAGGGCAAGGTATGGGGCAAGGGGTGCAGAGCTCCCCCCTGCCCAGCACCCAGACGTGCTCCCCAACCTGGGAGCCCTCCAGGTCCTCCCACCCCCTGGGCAGGGGATTTATGGAGGTTCCACGGCCCAGGTGTGACTGATGAGCTCGCTGGCCACTGAGATGGACCGCCTCTCCATCCCCTCTCTGTCCCTGGAAGGGGTGTGGGGGTGAGGGACTTAAAGTCCAACCCACGAAGCCCAGTGTGGTCATTCTGTCCACTGCCCCATCCTGAAGCCCACTAGGGGCCCCCAGGGGTTACATTAGCCTAAACCCAGGTGTGGTTGAATGGGGCTCGTTATGAATCACAAAAGACACCCCTCACCCCAGCACTCAAGAGTTCCAAGGGTTTTAGATGGTGGGAACCAGGAGTGGGTAGAGGCTAAATGTGTACCTCTTACTGTGTCAGCAGGTATCGGGGAAACTCCGTTGTCTTCAACGGACAAAGGGGTAGAAGCAGCAGTCGCGCTGTTAAGGGCTAAGTGGCTGGGTTTGGTGACTGATGTTTTGGGCGAGACCTGTGGGTTTCTCTGGGGCACAGCGTGTTCAACTTGATGTCGCCTACAAGTGGGATGGGCACTCGTGGGTATTTGTGGTTAGTGTATAAACGCAAGGGAGCAGGAAACTTAAAAACACTTTTGGAAGTGTGGATGTGACCCTTGAGTGCTGGAGGACAGGCTGTGGGAGGCGGGCACAGGCTGTCGGGCTCTGGGGGCGGCTGGGGGTGCAGAGGCCCCAAGCGTTGCTGGGCACCACGTGTGTGCCCAGACGTCCCGTGCACCCTCATGTTCTTTGCTGCCCAGGGGCAGGGGGTCCGCTCTAGGAAGCATGTTGCTGGTTGTGGGAAGTGGGCACATCCCATCAGGTTCGTAGCTGGAGACCCCGAATGTTCCCTTATCTTGAGGTGGTTTCACATGGACACAAGGCTTCTCAGAGCGGGCCTGGGCAAAGCACAGTGGGGGAGACTCAGGGCAGGATGTGGCAGGGTTTAGATGGCTGTCCTGGGGCCTGCCTTTGGGTGCGTCTGTTGTCCACGTGAAGGTGTGGCCGTGAGCAGTGACAGGAGCTTCTCGGTGGCTCTTGCTCTCTGTGTAAGCACAGGTGGGACCGCATCCTTCCCACGTGTGCGTGCCCTGGCCTGATGTCCCCGACTTCAGTACGCCGGTTCTGTGCCTTGACTTGAAGCCAGGGGGAGCGCAGGGTCCTTGACCGCAGGCCTGGACGTGGTATGCTGGATGGCTGAGCAGCCCACCACCCGCCAAGCATGGCCTGAGGGTTGGCTTTGGTCAGCAAGGAGGGGGCACTGCTGCCCCCTGAATCCTCATTCTGGGTAAGCGATTTTTTCCACAGAAAAGCATATAGAATTTTTAATATTTATTGGCAAAGCTAGGTTTCAAAGTTGAAATTAAAAATATCATTATGGAAAATGTGCCGATCAGTCATGGTTCCAGCAGAGAATGGGCACAGGTGCTGTTTTTTTATGAAATTTGTGTTTTCAGGGCTTTCAGAAGCTTTTAAGATGTGCAGGAGATCTTCAGCTTTCTACAGTGTGATTGAGAAGCTGCTCCAGCCTGTGGTTTGGACACGTAGCTCCCTGCCTCTGGCTCAGCGTGGCCTCCGTGCCAGACTCGGCACCCGAGGAGGGTGTTTGCAGTCGGGGGCGCACGGCGGTGCGTTCACACACTTAAGCTGTCTGGAGCCACCGGCCTGTCCCGCATGGCCTGGCGGGCCCGGGGACCCACAGCTTGTTGGTCAAGTGTGGGTTTCTATCGCTTTGCCACAGAAGCGTGTTGGTTCTTGCCTATTTTTGTCACACACATGGTGCTTTGGGGGCTTTGGCAGGGACGCTAGCTGTGACTCTTGTCTGCGGGAGGGTCCCCTCGCAAGGACAAGGGCACAACTCGCGGCCCGAGTGCACGGCTGGGTGGTGACTCGTGGCATCTTGTCCCAAAGTCCCTGCGTAGATGGTTGAATGAGATAGTTGTGAAAAGGATGCAGCTAGCGAGCAGGTGGGTCGGCTGGGGTTGGACAGATCGAGGTGTTCACGACCCTTTCATGACCGCCTAGACCAGGGTGGGCAGAGGCCTGAGCACGTGGGGCGGAGGAGGGAGACCCCGTTCGTTCTCCAGGTCAGGGAGCGTAGGGGTGGCCGGCAGGGAGGCCGGGGACACGCAGGTGAGGGGGCTCTGCAGGCGGAGGGACTCCTTGTCCTTCAGTCCGTTGTGGTTATTGGAAATTTGGGACTTATTGAACAGACTGTGGCATCCGTGGCCCTGGAGTCGCGGGCTTGCTGTCCTGTGGCTGTGGCCCCGTCTAGCGTCCTCTGGCATGCTCGCTGCAGCGCCCCCTGGGGGCTTGTGGCGGAAAAGGCACTGGAGAACACGGGTCTGCAGCTGTCACCACCGTCCGGGAGGCACGGCGGGGTGTTAGGAGTGCGTGTGAGTGTGCACGTGTGTGGGGCCTGGCCTTGCCCCCACTGGCATTTGGGGTGGGGAAGCCGGACTTTGTCGGGGCGCCTGCAGAGATGGGGCCTGTGCTCCGTCTTCTGAGGGCCTGTCCCTTCCCCGTGTGCTTTGAGTTCTCAGTCTGAGCAGCTTGTGTCTGCACTTTACTTTCTCCTTCTATTTACGTGCTAGCGTTCCCCGAAGTTGAACAAACTATTCTATAGTAGGTGTATCATATCTACTCTACTTTCCTACTTTTCTTATTCCATTATCGTATTATTTTGTTACTTACATTTAGGTGGAAGGTGATGAATATGAACACTGCACTGCCCTGTGGGCAAGGGGGGACTCCAAGCAGGCCTCAGGATCACACTCTGGTCCCCACTTCAAAGTCAGTGCTGAGGTCAGGTGTGGGCGCTGGGGTCAGGTGTCAGGTGTGGGCGCCAGGGTCAGGTGTGGGCACTGGGGTCAGGTGTGGGCCCTGAGGTCAGGTGTCAGGTGTGGGCAAGCGGGGTCAAGGGTCAGATGTAGATGTTGGGCTCAGGTGTGGGCAGTAGGGTCCAGAGCAGATGCTACGGTCAGGTATGGGTGCCAGTTCAGGCATATGGTGTGGGACACGCAGGGTCCAGCTCCTGGGCATGAGGTAGGGGAAGGACTGTGGGAGTGGGTGCCCAACAGGCCCACTTGAGCCTTCTCCTGTGGGGTCAGCACAGATCTTGGAATGATGACAGGAGCGTCCCCAGAGGCCCCAGGCGGCCCAGCAGGTGCTCTGTGAGTGGTGGGGTATGAGGCGTGGGCGGGAGGCGCCCTGGGCTTTATGCGCAGGCTGCGGTGTCTGGGCGTGGGGGTCGTCCGGCTCCTCACCAGCCCTCTCGACACATGGCTGGCACCTCTCCTTGCCACAGTCTCATTTGGTGGAGCAGCTTGGGAGACCTTGTGAATCCGAAAGGGTTTATATTCCGCTGTCTGTGGGACCAGCTTCCTTCAGGCTCTGGCACTGCTGGTTACCCTCTGGCCCAGCGTTGCCGCGAGACAGGTGGCGCGGCTCGGACTCACTTCCTCTCTGCCCTGCGCACTCTGGGGTTTCTGGGTGACAGACCTGGTGTGTTTGTTTTGTCAATGGTGCCGAGTGTGGGGCTCTCTCAGGCGGTTTCCTGGATTATGGGGTGGGGGATCGGGTAGTGCATGCACATTCCCTGGCCCTCGCCGCCCTGGGGCCTGTGGCCTCTGTGACTCCAGCTGTCCCGATACCGGGCCTCCTGCTGGCCCTGGGGTTTCCTGCTTGCCCCGCTTCAGGGCTGGAGCCCTCCCTCCAGGGACGTTGGTAGCGGACTTGGGTTTGGGGGTGTTTCTTGCCCCTGCGCTGCTTGCTCCCCCGGGTTGTGTCCTCCCTGGTTCCAGCCCCACCTGTCTTCGCTGTTAGAGGCTGCGGGCGTCCTGACACTTCCTGTCGGCCGGGTTTTGGACCAGAGGGCTCTGTCTTGTGGGTGTGGCCCTTTGGCCTGAGCTTTCTGGGGGGGCTACCTGGGTCTCCTGTGTGCCCGAGGGGGACCCCCCCATGTCCCCATCTCTCTGAGTTTGCTTTGGGGTCAAGTTCCGTGGAGAACACATCCAGTCCCCGCCTGGGCAGGCTGGGAGCTGACTCAGGGCCGGGGCTCTGTGCTCAGGGTGCAGATGTTCGCTCGGCCTCTGTTTGCACGTGTTGTCCCCTTCCCCAGGCTGAGACCCTCCAGTCCTTGCTGTCCCGAATCACCCCCACTCTTGTGAAGGTTGAGGGGAGCACTTGCCCAGAAATGGGGCGGGGGGTCTAGGGATCCTGTTGCTTCTCAGCCGGCTTCCTTGTTACAGCTCCCTCACCCAGCACGCTCTGACATGCTCAGCACCCCTGCACACACACACACCTGCTTGTGCACATCCCATGTGTGGTGTGGACATTCCAAGCCCTGCAGGCCTCTCCCTCAGCTGGCTGAGGACGGCACTTGGGTTTGCCACGTGGGCCCCATGGGGCTTCTCGTTGCTGGTGCGTCCGTATTTCTCTCCACAGCTGGACCCCTGGTTGGACAGGCGCTCGTGGGTGCTGGGCTTCAGGCACCTGCAGGCAGCTGGGGGCCCCCCAGGGCTTCTGCTTAGCCCTGTCTGTCCGGCCGGCTGGGCCCCTGTGGGCCCCCATGGGCAGGGTGTGATCTGGCTGAGCAGAGACGCTATGAGCTCCCTCACGAAGCTGGGGCTGTCCTCTCCAGGAGCGCAGATCCGTGTGCTGTGGTTGGGAGATGGCCTGATGTCTCGGACAGTGCACACGTGGCTGGCCAGGCCCCGGGTAGTCACTGAAGAGAATTTGGGATGGCTCACAGGCACGTTTCTAATTTCCCTTCAGTCTCATCAGCTTAGCTGGAGCTGGTACGTCAGCTTGGGGTGGTGGAGGACCAGGGCGCCTGCTCATACCCCGCAGGAAGCCAGGGCCTGGCGCTGGGGCTGCAGCGGTCCCCCCAGATGGCACACAAGTTGAAGGACCCTGTAACATCTAGAGCCCCTGATTTATAACTCAGAAGTCTTGACCTTTGATATTTGAAAGAAGATATTTTGTGTTCATGTGCTTCGATGCGGGTAACCTGAAACCAGAGTGACGGCAGCAGCGGCAGGACTGTCCAGGGTCACACGTGGCAGTGTGGCCGAGGCCACTCCGAGTGGGCCTCACAGCCTGACTTCCCATCATCCCCAGCGTTGTGTGGTGGCTCACCCCCGACCAAGGTGGCAGGCAACACCCCTTTTGGGGCCACGTGGCTGATGCTCAGAGTGTAGGTCACAGCTCTGTGTGTGTGGTTTCGTTGAGCGGCTGCCGTGTCTCCCAGGCGGCCCGAGTGGACTTGCGCAGAGCCTGCCGTTTTCCAGCTGTGGCCCATAGATGGGCTCGTGGCCCAGCGACAGAGGACCTCTCTGTGGCGGTCCTCCCGCCACCTGTCTGGCCACTGCCGGCTCGCATGTGTGCCGTGGGGTCGGCACCGTCCACACATGGACCAGCGCAGGGGCAGAGCGAGACCAGGAGGCTGGGGGGCCAGGCGAGGGGCCCTGCGGAGACGAGCCAGGTCCTCAAGAAGTGACCGCTACTGTCACATCCACCTTGATTTGAATAAAGGAGTTACTTCATGGGTCCTCGTTCTGTGACCAAACTTTGTGACCAGTTGTATCTTTAAAGGTTGAATCATTAGAATTTTATTTTTCAGTGGCTTAGTTATTATAGAACAACAAGAAAAGTCAGGTTGTTTGTTTTATAGAGCCAAATAATTTCCTTAAAAGTGCTGATTTCAAAGAGGGGGAAGCATTTATTTACTTGAATTCACTGTGGCACTGTTTCTAGGAAATTTTCTAGCCAATGAGATGGTCGTTATGAGGCACGTCTTGGCTCTTTGGGTTTCGGTTGGGTTTCAGTTGCTCAGCTTGTGTTCTGGGCCCTCAGATGTAGGTGCCAGAGCCCAGGTCAGAGTGCGGGAGCGGCTGTGTCCCCGCGGCCGGTCCAGGCTTGCGCATTGCCCCACCCCGTGTGCGCAGATGCTCCTTAGAAGCCCCGAACCACGTGCTGACACCTGTGTGGGGGCAGCCTGGGTGTGGCTCCAGAGAGGAGGCTGACCCCAGAGTCGCTGAGGTCACACTGGGGCAGGTGGAGCCACGTGGCGCCAGCTTGGGAGGCCGCTCCAGCAGCAGGGTAGGTGTGCAGTGGACCACATGCATGTGCTGCCCCAAGATGCCGGGCCAGGAGTTCAGGGCGAGGGCTGGGGGCTGGTGTCAGGGTGATGGGGCCCTGGCCGGGCCAAGGGGGCTGCTGTCGTGTGTGGTCTGGAGGTGGGCTGTGGCCAGGGGTGGAGGGGGGAGGCTGGCACATGCTCCCAGCGCCAGGGCTGGGGTGGCCTGCTGGGTCTTAGGGCCCTGGTGGGATAGCCAAGGAGAGGTACCACCTGAGTGGACAGGGCTCTGTCTGCAGTTGGGGGAGAGCCCGGCAGCCTCCATCTTTAACAGCCCAGCGAAGATCTGGCTGGGGGCAGGGGGCAGAAAGAGGCAGTGCCGGCCCATCCAGGGAGTCAGGTCTCAGCGGGCAGCATGCCCGGCCAGCCGCCGGAGGCCTGCCATGTAGGGCGGGCCTGAGTGTGGTGTGTGGCTGATGCACGGGGACCAGACGCTGTATGTGAATTTGGGGATCCACTCCTGGGTCAGTGTAACCCCATGGATGTGCTTTAAGCCCGTATCTTTTCTGTTTCAGACTTTAAAAAATTCAAAAAGCCTTTGTTCCCTTGATTATGAAGACGAAGAGGAGGATGACAGCCAAGTGAAGCTGGCCCCGTATGCCCCACGCGGCCCCACGGGCATCATCACGCCCGGCTCCAGACCACTGGGCGTGTGCCCCAGCCCCTGCTGCACCGGCCCTGGCCCGTGGGCCTCTTGGGAGCCCATGGCCGCTGAGGGCGAGGGCGGGAGCGGCGGCGACCCCAGTGACTGGGAGAGCGCTGGGGAGGAGGGGGCCTTCCCTCCCGGCCGCGGCGAGCTGGACCTGGGGCAGATCGAGAGCAACTGACCCCCGGCGGGGGGTCCGGGGCCACTGCCCCCAGTTTCTTCCCGGCACACGGACACGAGCTGGGCTACGCAGAACTTTGAACATTAGGTGTAATTTTGATCCAGTTTTTCCTAAAGAAGTATTTTGGATTTTTATGGCTTTTACAGTTCTGGAGAAAGCTGCTGTATTTTGAACGAATTTTCGGAAGGGCATTCTATGAAACGGGAGCCTGCGGGCCGATCCCAGCACAGGTGTGCGTTCCTTTTCTAAAACCCCTGCCGTGCAGGGCGCGGGGGTCCGTGAGTGCCGAGCAGCCGGCCTGCTGCTGCCCGTCACCTCTTTGGAGCGCCAGGCGGTGGAGCCTGTGTGCTCAGGAGCTCTGGGACGGTGGTCCTGGCAGCACCTGGTCTGACTTCAATAAAAGGCGTTTGCTTCCCCGTGTTTGTTTCTGGCTGAAAGCAGTTGGGCCTCGGGCCTGTGGGTCTCGTGCAGCACAGGGTTTTCATTTAATGACATGGGGGATTTGTCCCTGAGACTCTGACCTCAGGAGTTTTGAGTAGGAGGGCGCAGTTTGTGGTAGTGAAAGAAAACAGCAATAACCTTCAGAGAAATTTTCTTGATCTCCCCCTCACCGAGAACATTTTCCAAGCTCACAGCCATGCACGGGGACCGCCGTCCCTGGTGCGGACGTAGACAGGAGGTGCCGGTCTGCAGGACGCCGGGCTTTCTTGGGCCTGCCCGCTGGCCCCTTCCCTGCGGGATGGGGGTTCCTATGGCCCACCACCGATCCCTCAGGCCCACCCTGCACTGACCTCCTGCCGCGTGGCTGACGTGCATTCCTGGGAGTCGGAAGTGGCCATCATGGCTTCTCCAGTGACTGTCGAAGAACTTTTTTCCTCCCACTCTAGGCTGTAGCCCGAGGGTCCCTGAGACTCCGGAGATGCCCAGTTCATCTTGTTCGCTCGCTGGCAGGCCTCCTGAGGGAGCAGGCGCCCTGCGTCTCAGCACACGTGCTGTGGTCAGAGTCAGACGTCAGAGACAGAGTTTGTTCTAGAACAGTCTGCCTGGCCAGTTAGTGGTCTCAACCATGGGGAGTTTAGAAAATACTGGTGTCTGGGCCCCTCCGGGGTGTTGCCTGGATGGGATGGGGTGGGGGGGCTGTTTGGAGCTGTCCGGCTTTAACCCGGAGAGATAGATGATCCAGGTGCAGCAGAGCCGTTTCCCCTGGGACGCCACGCCCTTTGGTCCTTCGGTCCTCAGCGGCCTCCCGGGGCTGGCAGACGTCTGGCCACGTGTGGGTCTGGTGTGGGACCCGAGCCTGCGGGCCACCTGCAATGCAAAGAAGCCTTTGGCAGTTTCTGAGAGGGGCCTTTGGGGGTCAAGCTGGTGCCCACGGGCATCACCAGCGTCCCCAGAGCCACCACCTGGCCAGAGAGCCTCTGGGACCCACAGGCACGCCCTTGGTGGGCACATGACTTGGGTCCCAGGATCCCTGCATTGGATGTCCAGCACAACTGGGAGGCTGTGTTTTGAGTTGAATTTCGGGAGATAGGCTCTGTGTACTTAGCTGCATAGAGCCAGTGTCCCCACTCAGAACTTTGCTCCGGGGCTGACCTGTGGATCCGGTGGGGCGGGGGTGGGGTGGGGGCGAGGTCCCTGTGCCAGCAGAGCCCGGCCACGGGGCTGTGGGGCAGTAACGGGTGGGGGGAGATTGAAGGGGCCTCGGTGTCATTGGTATCACCCACACCATATTTTCTTGCCACATCCTGATAACAAAAAGATAGCAAACAAAACCTTGTGTGTTTGGGAAATTTAAAAATGCACTTTACCTAACTCATTGGCCAAAGAAGAAATCATCCAAGTTAGACAATACTTCGAACTGAATGGTCCTGAAAACGGTACATATCAAAACTTGTCAAATATATCTTAGGTTGTAGAAAGAAGGACATCTATAGCCCTACGTGATTACATTAGAAGAAATAAGAGTGGGAAATCAGCCAGCTTAGCTTCCAATCTAAGAACAAGGCAGAGGGGCGCCTGGGTGGCTCCGTTGGTTGAGCGACTGCCTTCGGCTCAGGTCACGATCTCAGGGTCCTGGGATCGAGTCCCGCATCGGGCTCCCTGCTCGGCGGGGAGTCTGCTTCTCCCTCTGACCTCCCCCCTCTCATGTGCTCGCTCTCTCTCATTCTTTCTCTCAAATAAATAAATAAAATCTTTAAAAAACAAAAACAAGGCAGAGGTCAGCAAATGCCCTTGAAAGGAAGTAAATATTTTGGATTTTGGGAGCGCAGGTGGTGTCGTCCCCCCCGGCCCCGATTTCATCCCCACACTGTCATTTGCTGACCCCTGAATGTGGGGAATGAACGAGCAAAGCCGAAGGGAAAAGAGGGAGCACCATCCTAAGAGCAGGCGCTTTGCCAGAAGGGACGGGTCAGGAGCTGTACCGAGAAGGGCCGGGGGGCGAGCAGGTTGTCTTCGGAACGCGGGGGGGCCGTGCAGGCCGTGAAGAGAGTGCGGCTGGTCCAAGCGACTTGGAAGCAATGGACATGTTCCCGGAGAAATAGCGCCAACCGCCCAGCGGGGAAGAGAGACGCCAGGGCTGGTCCCGGGAAGCGTCGTGTGAAGAGAAGCTGTGGTTCAACACCTTCCCGTATGGAAGGCACCAGCGCAGGCTGGCTTTGGAGACAAGTGCTGCGAAATACCCAAGTGTGATCCTGACGTGAAATCAGACACGGGCAGGGATGGGGGCGCTGCTGATGGCCGTCCACTGACCGCTGTGGCCACGGTGGCGGACAAGCCCCCGGGGCAGGTCTCCGAGAGCCTCCTCTTCCTGCTCCCATGCTCGCCCTTTTAGATGGTGTGGAGGGGACTGGGGGGCCGGGGATTGGAGCCCTCAGCTGGGCCCGCCTGGGCAGTAGGCCCCGAGGCCACCCTTCCCGCCTGCTCTCCTGCCGCCCACACAGGGTCCCGTGCACTTGAAGAAGCTCAGGGCGCTCCCACTGCACCCCAAGGTCAAGGTCATGGGCAAGCAGGGTCAGGCTCCTGCAGCCTTCGTCCCTGCCCTCCAGACAGCTGGGGAGGGGGCCCTGGTTCTCTCACAGGGGCGGCAGCCCAGCGAGCCAAGCCCCTCACTCCCTCTCCCTGCGCCCCTGACCTCGGCCCCCAGCTGTGCCAGCCTCCCGACTTCGGCCCTGGTGTCACGTCGGACGGGAAGCCCGTCCCTGTCACCCGACGTCCAGTCACGTGCTTTTTCTATTTTTTTGCAGTTGCGGATATAGCTTCTTTAAGCCTCGTTAAGTTACTTTTGTTAATTTATATTGTCCTGGGAAATGGCCCATTTTGTCAAGAAGATCCGATGTGTTAGCTCGTCACTGCGTCTCCGCAGCTCCCACTCCTTGTGCACGGCCCTCGCGGCCCCACTTCTCTCGCTCCCTGGCCAGAGGTTGCTTTATTTTGTTTATTTATTTTGAGGACTGGCTCTTGGATTTACTGATGAGTTCTTCCATTTTTCTTGTTTCCAATTCATTAATTCGCCTTTATCTTCACCCCTCCTGCTCCCGTGGATTTACTTTATTGTTCTGTTTTCCCTCCTTGTGTCGAATGTTTAGTGCATTTATTATCAGTCTCTCTTGCTCAGTAATAAAAGCATTTAAGGTTGTGAATTCCCCACCAGCCCCTCCCGAAGCTGGCTCCGCGGACGTGCGGTCTCCCTTTTCTGGACGGTTGTAAATCTGTCCTGGAGACTTTTATTTACTCTCTGACCTAGGAGTTATTTAGGCGAGCACTTTTGAATTTCCAAATCATCTGGCTTCTCTTTTAGATCCTTTGATTAATTTTTAGGTTGGTTGTATTGTTTTAAATAATGAGCCCTGTAGATGTTTGGTTGTTTGGGATGCAGTGAGGCACATGTGCACGTGTGTGTGCATCCCTCTGTGTGCAAGCACACGCATGTGTAAGCCCCATGTATGCATACACATGCCCACACGTGGGTCCACGTGCACGTGCCGCTCTGCCCACATGACCGCATGCGTACGCATATGCATGTCACATGTAGCGTGTTCTATGGTTTCTGACCAGGTGACTGCCACCCGGTCAAGGACATTCACAAGAGGACTGCAGGCCCTTGCCCTCACTCTAGTTGTGGACCCCGGATCCTGGGTCTCTGGGTGAGGTCTGGGCCGCCCACGGTGGTCTGACAGGCCGGCCTCCTCCCGGTGGAGCCGGGATCCCCGTTGTGTTCACAATGATATTCCTGACCCCACGCCCCGGATGGCCAGGTCTGCTATTGACAGGGCCCATCACCGGGTGACCTGGGGGACGCTGGGCCCAGCACAGGCTGCAGCGGAGGGCAGGCGTGTCCTGCGGCTCACATCGTCCCTTTGGAGCAGCTGGAGCAGGTGTGTGGAGTGCTGGAGAGGACCCGGCGATTTTCAAACAGAAAGTTCAATTTAATTCCTAGTTTGCTAATTACACAAAATTACGAGTAGATTTTTTTTTTTATTAAAGATTTTTATTTATTTATTTGAGAGAGAGAATGAGATAGAGAGAGAGAGCATGAGAGGGGGGGAGGGTCAGACGGAGAAGCAGACTCCCCGCTGAGCAGGGAGCCCGATGCGGGACTCGATCCCGGGACTCCAGGATCATGACCCGAGCCGAAGGCAGTCGCTTAACCAACTGAGCCACCCAGGCGCCAATTATGAGTAGATGTTAACTTTATTAGTTTTATTCATCTGTTGAGATGGTCATAAAATATTTCTTCTTTAATCTGTATATGAGTTTTCTAGGGCTGCTGAAACAATGACCATGGCCTGGGGAATATTGCTTCTCTCAGAGCCCTGGAGGCTGGGGGTCTGAGACCCAGGTGTGGGTGGGTTCCCTCTGAGGCCTCTCCCGTGTCCTTACGTGGTCGTGCCTCTGTGTGTGTCTGTGCCCTAATCTTTTCTTATAAGGACGCCAGTCACATTGGATTAGTGCCCACCCCAGGGACCTCATTTTACCCTAACAATTGCTTTAAAGACCCT